TGATCCTTATCTCTGCCTTAACATTCACATGGTTTTCTCCCTGCGTGCATGTCTGTCTCTATGTCCAATTTCTCCTTCTTATAAGGACACCAGTCATATCAGGTTACAGCCCAGTCTAATAACCTCATTTTAACTTGATTATCTCTATAAAGACCCTATCTCCAAATAAGATCACATTGTTAGATACTGGGGATTAGGACTTCAACATATGAATTTGGGAGGGACACAACTTAACCCATAACAAATACTTTCTAGGAAAATAAGAAAATATTCCTCCTTTAGAGCATGTTGTAGCAATACCACACAACTACTACAAATCACAGACACTTATTTAAAGCCATATCATATTCTTAATGCTAGAGTCCTGAAACTGAATTTCAAAAGAAATCAGAATGGAAATTCAAAGAATCATCATGTTGATTTGACTAACATAATACCCTGATCTAAGCAAGTTTTTGGTTTGGGATTGAAAAAAACACAAAGAAATTTCTACAAATTTTAACTTTTCAATGTTGGGAACAATAAAACTCTTTCGAAGGAAAGCCAAAGGCATGAAGAGCTAATATTAGCCTGTGAAACATTTGCTCAGAATAGTCCAGGAGTCTTCAGTAGCTCAGTTCTGAACCTCCCCCAAAACTTGTTCTGAAAAAAAAGGAAGAAAAGGAAGCCACTAGGGAAAAGGGAGTAGATGAGATGTGGCCTCTGAAATTATGTGGAAGACAGTATAGAAGAGTATAGGATACAGAGGGGAGAGTATAGGCCTAGTCTTGAGATATAAGAACTTAGATAGAAGAATTAAAAGTAGATTTCTGAAAGTGTATTTAGTATTAAAAAGCATCTTTGACATATAAAGTCCAAGAACCAAAGATTTAAATCTCAAAGCCCTGGATTAACACTTAATTTGATTTCCAGCTCATTCATGGTCAAAGAGTCACAGTGGTTCTTCCTATAGAACCTAACTGTCACAGATTAACTTCTTTTCTCCATGATTTGAGGATTCACAAATTTGCAGCAATGCATCGGGACATAATAAAAACAACTGATAAATGGCACTACTGCTTTGATTTCTCCTACTCATGCTAGTCTCCCTGGATTAAAAAAGAAAAGTGTCAACTTAAAAGTAAAAGTGGAAGAAGAGGCATACAGAAAAAAATAGAGTTCATGGAACACCTACTAGGTGTCATATGCTTGCACCTATGCTCTATCTGCACCACTTCTTTTAATTTAGTCATGCGAGGACTTTTGCAGTAGTAGATATAAGAACAGAACCATCTACAGAGTAGTAGATCTAAGAACAGAAGAAAGTTTATGGCTTTAGTTTATTGCACTATTAGTTTATGATGCCAAATGCAAATAATTAGTGAGAGCAGCACTTCTCAGATTTCGTAGCCTGTGAGTTGAACACTCTGTGGTGTCTCTGAAATGCAACCAATGAAGGCACCAGGCTCATCACTGGAAAATGTTTCTGAAGTATCCTGAGTTTGTGAGGCAGCAATGTGACCTGGAGTGAGCTCCTGTGAACCTCAGCACAAATCCCACCTCAGCCTTGGGTAAGTTACCTCACTCCTGGAAACTGCAGATTCCTCAGCAGTGACATGGGGACAAGAGGTACCAGGTAACTGCCTCCCTGAGTTGCAGTGTGGATTACATGAAATAATGTATGAAAAGTATTCAGCTTGCAGAAAATGCTCTGATACTACTAGTTTCCTCACCCCTCTTTCATTTTAACATCTTTTAACTAAAAAAATGGGGTTTTATTGTGGTGGTGGTTGCTTTTTTCATGGTGAAATAGTCTGCCTCAGAGACTGGAAATCACCTTTTCTACTAGCTATATTCTTCTCCTCCACATGGGTAAAGTATTATACTCCTTAGTAAAAAAGCCTGAGTTTGTTTTTATTTTTGTTTTGTTTTGCTGTGATTATTTGTTGTAATATTTCTAATAAGAAAAATGTTTATGTGCTCTGATGAAACTGTATTGTGAAACGCGTGGTGTTTAGCATACCAACTATTAGTAAGTATAAGGGACAATTAAAAAATCTGAAAAATGTGGATTTCAGAGTCTCAGTCCCAGAAAATTGGACTATGTAGGTCTGGGGAAGAGACCAGAAATCTGTAGTTCTAACAAGTGCCCAGCGGATGCTGAGTACAGTTGGTTCTTACCACATGGTAAGAGACATTGATGTAATCAATTCACAGTATTGACCTCCTGGAATATCACTTTCTAAAGGTGACTGCTTCTGTTACAAAGTAACATGAAATAGCAGTAAATATGAAGGATAAATGTATTCAACCTTAAAACCTGAAACATCCCATATTCTAAGTCACATAAACCATACTTTCACATGTATTTGTATCTTAATAGATTAAAACTTTAATAGCCACTGCATAAACGCTGATATAGTCTACAATTAGCATTTTCGGGGAGCATTTTGAACCCTGATGCTGTGAAATATAACCATTCCCTCTTTTACTTCCACATTTCCTAGGTGCTAGGTGCATTTCCACCCTCTGCCTCTCTGGCCCAGCAGGTGGAGCTGAGGAACCTGCCAAAGGGGCACGAGGTTTGAAAAGGCATCGGGCGTCTAGCAGCAACCACCTAAACGGCACTGATGAAAAAGGAAAGTGTGGGAGTCTTCAAGAGAAAAGGGCTCTGGGCAGAGTTCCCAGGGATGCTGTCCCCCCAGCACAAGGAAATGCCTTTTCCTTCTTTCCCTGGTCCTCTTCCAGGTATGTAAGGAAAATACAAAAAGACACTGGGGCAAAAAAGGAGAAAGAAGAAAAGTATCGCCAAACTAACCTAATTCTTGAAACCTATATAGACTACTGAGAAAGGTTTCCTAGAACTGTCCACTCACCACTTGCTTATTAAAAGGAGACTCAGCCACCTTTTTCTGAATCATGACTGAAACCCTTCCATGTCACACTGAAGACAGAAACTTAGGGGAAATTGACTTCCAAGCCCACTCGGTATGTTGTTGCATGTGACAAATTTGCTATCGGCTTATAATTGGGGCATGCAAAGCTTCTGTGGGCACAGTAAAGGTAGGAGGATGCTAAGAAATGTTGGCAAGGGTGGAAATGAGATGGAGGTACCACTGTGAGTTTAAACTGCCCACAAAGCAACTCTCCACAACTTCTCAGGGAACTTCTGAAGAAGAAAATACAAAAAATAACTCGGCTTCAGAAAGCATCTCTGATTTTGTTTTCAGTCTGATGAAAGGCCACAGTGTGAGGCGTGCCCTCTTCCACAGAGCCATGCAAACAGATGATCATCTCTAGAATCTATGCATTTGACTACCATCTACATTGTCTCCACTTCCACACAAACACATCTTCAAAACCCCCTTCAAGGATGTCAATAATATGAATTTTCTTAAATCCCATGCTTGGAATAGAGAAGAGAGATGTATACAAGTGCTTAAAGCATCCAGATTTAGAATTTGTTTGAAACTAGGAATAGTACCAGCCAGCCGCCAAAAAAAAAAGTAAAACCAGGAATAACTAATTTTGGCTTGAGGAAGGCTCTTACAGTTACCCTTTGCTACCCCAATTCATCCTAGCCCCCTATGTTCTCTTCTCCTTTACCTTCCCCTCTCACAACAACCCCCACCCCCACGGAGAAAGGTTGGGGCACTTTTCTTTAAAGATTATATTTACTTTTCTGCATTTAGACAAGAAATGAAATATCAAGTCTGGTGAACATGCAGAACAAGCTACTTAGCAACAAATAACATCTAATACTTGCTGAACACTTATTATCTGCCATTCTGCCACACATTTTACATGCATGATCCCTTTGAATCCTTATTACAAGCCTAGGAACTGGGTACTATTACCATCTTCATTTTCCAGATGAGGAAATCAAGGCCTGGAAAGATTAAGTAACTTGCTCCAAGTCACATGGCTACTAAACGGCAAAGTCAAAATTTGGATCCAGGTTACCTGGCTTGAGAGCTAGAGGTGTAACAACTAAACTGTTAAGAGATGTGATTAGTTTCCATGAACTTCTGTTGTAGGCTAAAAGGGCATGCTCTCTCCATGGAGCCACAACATAGAGTATAAACCTGCTACAAAAAGGCATCCAAACCCATGAGCCCATGCAGGAGCACCCCCAGGCAGTACTCAGTCTCAGGACCCTCTAGGGTTGGGGAAAGGTGCCACAGGTAACTTCCAGGGAGGGTAAAAGTACTGGTTTGATAAAAAAAAGTATGGCTTTTTTTTTTTTTTAAATAAACAGGAGACATTAAAAGGCATTATATGAGTACCATTCTGAGATTTAAGGATCTTGGTGCTAGCATTGCTGATCTTGAACAGGCAGCTCAAATAAGCTTAGCACGTGGGTTTCATTGAAAGAAACTGTTACCAAGTAAAGTGTTTCAAAGAATTGGAATATTGTCAAACTAGCTTAACACCATGAAATGGTACAACTTAATGAGAGACTCTATAAATCTTAAAGAATACAACACACAACTCTCTTTCCAAAGACTGATTTTATAAGTGGTTTGGTGTCTTTCCTGGGCACGAACACACACAGTGGTAGGGAAAATGGGGTAACTAAAAACTGCTTTGTTTTGTTTTTTTAATTATTTAAGTAAAACTTCTTCCACCCCAATTCCTTCTGAATTACATTAGTTTTTTTACAGTTAAAAAAAAATCTCAAACAGCTGACAGAACCATGTTAAATAGTCAATTTTCTTTTACACATCTACTCAACCTCCTGGAGAGATAACACACACTCCTGAGCACGGAAATGCTAACATCAAAGTAAAAACCAAACCAGTGATTCAGTACTGAACCTAAAAGAGGGGGAGGTTATATTGATCTTACAAATCAGCAATGGCCTGAGTTCTAATCCAATATACAGGTGGGGGGATGGAGAAAGGAGGGACAGATGGAGGGAGAGAGAGGGAAAAAGGCAGAAAAGCTTTGACTGAAAGGAAAAGGTAAGAAATCCAAATTCAGTATTATATGTTCTTGAAAAGAGCATGACATCTACTCACCTGTCTACTGCTTCCACGTCAAAGCAAAACCTCTTCTCAATAGAGTCTGTTTTCCGCCGTGTGCAGGATTTGAGGGTGACTGATTCATCTTCTCCCTAGTGGGAACACCCAGACTATCAAGGCAAGGCCAGAATGTGAACTCCGCTCCTCTCCAGAATAAACATACACAAACAGGAGCGATCATTTCATCTTCTCAAATCTGAGTGTTCACGATCACGTGAGGTGGGAAATTGGTCATAAACCTTCTCAGGCAAAAGCCTCATACAGCCAAAATCTGTAAATCATGTTATACTTTGAACCAAACATCTTTAGTACTGGTGGGCCATGATGGTACAGCATTAATCTATGGTAGATAAGTTCTTGCTGATATTATTTTAAACAGGTTTAATTTGTAGATTTGATAAGAGTTGAAGATAGTCTTCTCCCAACTCCGAACTTCTAAGGTTTTCTGTCTGTCATCACTTCTTCAAGAAAACCTTCCTGGACCAGATCAAATATTCCCCAGATTTGTTCACATAGCATGACCTACCTCTCTCTTCCTCTCTGCACTGATCACAGCTGAAACTGTCCATTGATGTAGGTGATGACTAAAATAATTTCTCACTCCCCATTAGGCTATAATCTCCTTGAGGGCAGGGACTGTGTCAGTGGTTGCTTACTCTTAGGTCTCCTGAGCCCAACCAGGCCCTGGAACAGAGCAGGTGCTCAATAAATATGTTTAAACAGCTTTATTAACATATAATTAATGTATGATAAAGTGTATATGTTTAAAGGGTACAATTTATAAATTCTGACACCAGCATACACCCGTGAAACCATCCCCACGACCAAGCTAACAGACACTCCTATCACTCCCCAACGTCTCCTTGTTTCCCTTGGTAAGCCCCCTTCCTCCCAGTCCATACCCAACCACTGCATCTTGCTTTCTGTCACTACCGATTTTGTTTGCATATGCTATTTTATATAAACGGAACCACAGAGTTTGTGTTCTTTCTCTGTCTAGCTTCTTTCACTCAACCTAACTGTTCTGAGATTCATCCATGCTGTTGTGCATATCAAGGGTTGTATCTTTTTATCGCTGAGTAGTATTCCATTGTACAAACAGAAAGCAATTTTATCTCATAGCACTAGTTTATTGCCTAGAAACATAAAGTCACTGTCCCTGATTTCTTCTCTACCACTTAGGAATTTGTTAGGGTTTCTGTGTCTCCTGCCTCTGCCAATCTTTTTTCTCTAAACTAGGACGAAATTAGCAAACTTGCCTGCTTTATTGAAATAATAGGAAATGTGACTATGCAAGGTAAAATTTCACCACTCACTAATATCAGAATAACACACAAAACACAGAAGACCTAAAAAGAGACAGTTTACATTCATAAGCCTTACACCTATTGTCTTCTATTGAATAGCAAAGATTAGCTTCTCAGAGTGAGAATGGTTATTTCTCCAGTTTATAAAATGTATAAGCATAAACACACAAACATAAGGGATTCTGACCCTGTTGATGTCAACTGTATATTTCAGATGTAATAGCTATGGACTAGCATCCAATTTGAAAACTTATGTGAGGCGTCCCAAGGATCATCAAATATAAGCAGGAAAAAAGAGGAAGATAAGATTCTGCCTCAAGGATGACCATACCATATCAGGAAAAATATATAAAGAATCTGTTCAACTACTGATGGTTTTTAAAAGTAGGGGAATAAAGATGATAATCACTTAAACAATTAAATTGAAAGTGATAGCCATGACAAACACTACAAGAAAAATACACAGGTTGTGCTACAAAAGCCTAAATTAAGGGGATTTCACCTGGTCAGGAAGGTTAGAAGGGGTTTCTTGAGCTGGGATTGGAAAGATTCGCAAGGGATAAAACAAGGAGAAAAGGAGCAGGGGTGGAGAAAAGGAGCAGGGGTGGAGAAAAGCAGGTGGAAAGGTCCTGTGATCAGGGTCTACAGAGTCTTGGAGGAAAGATGAGAAGCCAGTGTGGCTAGAAGACCACAGTGAGAGAAAAAGTAGAGTGAGGAAAGGTTTTAGAGAGGGCAAGGGCCAGAATCAGCTCTGGGCTGCTGCACACCTGCAGAGAGGTGCCTTATCTCAGAGGGTAGGATGCAGGAAAATTATTTCATCACACATGGGGTCTGGTCTCCAAGAGAATGGAGCAAATATGCTCACAACTCCAGGCCTGAAGCTAGGAGGAAAGTGGGTGCTTTTAAAGGAAAATAATCCATTTGAAAGGGACAGTGAGGGTGGAGAAAAAGCATGCTAGGGAAAGAAAACAACCTATTATCTATGTTAGGTCCACCTCCAGGTCCTACAAGAGCTTTGTTCAAACATGTATACAAAAACATCACATGACTCCTATGTATAAATTGAGAAAACATCACCTCTACACAGCTAGTCCTCATATTTCATCTACCCTAAAGCTGAGGAAACAGTGGTGTCAAAAAAAAAAGCATAATGGCTTCAGAATCAGGAGATTTGGGATTTGAGTACTGGCTCTAAAACTCTTTAGTCGTATGACCTTAGAAATCATTTTATTTCTCTGAACCTCAACTTCCTCCTTTGTAAAAGGAGGAAAGTTGGATCAAACAGTACAATATAGGATAATAAAAGGATGTAGAAAAATATAAAATGTGACAAATGTAAGGAATCATTATTAGGAAAATTGATTATTATAATATCAAGGTCCTTATATATCACTCATTATGTGTCCACCTCTGTCCTAAGAAGTTTATATTCACTAACTCATACAAACCTCTTAACAACCCAATGAGGTGTTTACTATTATCTCGCTAAAGTCTGTGGAGTCCCAAACATCCCCCATAATTGGTCTCCACCCTTCACTTTCAAGTGGGATAAGAAAGGAGTAGAGAAAAGAAAAGACAGTTCCTCATTAAAGGTTAGAGAAAGCGCAAGATAAAAAGCCCCAAAATAAAGACTGTGTGAAAGAATAATTCAGTAAAGCTGATTTCTAGAAGGACTATGACTTGATCCAAGGAAAGCAGGCCTATCTCTATTTCTATTTCATGAAAACTAGGGGACACCTATTAACATAGGTTTTTAATATTCCTTCTAACTCTAATTTCTCTATATTGTGATATTTTAACACGTCTGTTTTCCTGAGATGATTCATAAGTCAACCACTCCCCTGCCAAGCAATATTAAAAGGGCTTTGTCATTGCTCTGATATAGGTAAGGAAAAGAGATGCTGATAAACTTTTCTATTGTGGCTTAAGAAAAAGAAAGCCAGGAAGAAAAACTAAAAGTGAAACAGAGCAAGGGGCACGGCACCACAGAGAGGACCAGGGGTAAAATGCTATAGGGGGATAATTTATGAACAGATTAGACACAACTGAAAAATCATTTAAACTAAAGATAGAACCAGAAAAATTATTCAGAATGTAGTCCAGAGATTCAAGGAGATGAAAAATATAAATATTTTTATTAAAAACATTTAAGTATCTCCAGCAGTAGATAATAGTAAGACTGGGGAGGAGACAAAATTCAAAGTGATAATGGGTGAGAATTGTCCAAAGTTATTGAAAGAGACTAAATCTCAAATCCAGAAAGGCCAAAATAGCCCAAGCAACAGGTCTTTTTTAAAAATTCAAATCTAGGACCATCTTAATGAAATGTAGAATACCAAAGGAAGAAAAGAAGGTATTAAGAGCAGCCCAGTAGAAAAGACAGATCACCTACATAGGAACCACATCGGGACTGCTATGACAATACCCAGGGGAGACTGACTGGCAGGAGGTGAGAGGCAACAGCTCTGTGGAAGGGAAGGACATCGGCGCACTCAAGGAGCTGCTCAATGGCAGTGACACCAGGGAGCCTATGACTTTGATGTGTCTCCCATTGAGAGGCAGGGTCTGTGTCCTCTCCTATTAAAACTGGGTAAGCGTTTGTGGCCATTGACCAACAGGGCAAAAGAAAGGCTGTATGACTTCTGAGGTGAGGTCATCAAAAGGTAACGCTGTGCCTGCTTTAGTTACTAGAATGCTCACTCCTAAAAACTTTAGCTGCCCTGAAGCCACCATGCTCTGAGGAAGCCCAAACTAGCCCATGTAAAGAGACTAGAGACTATATAGGGAAAGAGAGAAAGAGAAGACAGGAGAGAAGAGGGAAGAGAAGGACAGAGGAGACCAAGAGAGAGGGAGAGAGCTTTATCTAGCCAGCCTGGAGCTGCTTCAAACACTCATTCTTCCAGCTCTAGCCACCATCTGAGGAACGTCATGAGAAACCCTGAGCCTGAACCCCCCATCCACATGCTCCCCAAATTCCTGACTCACAGAAATGGTGAGAGATACTTAAACAATTGGTATTGTTTTAAAAGTTGCTAAGTTTAGGATGACTTGTTACACAGCAATGGACATCTGGGACATCTAATCTGCCAACTGGCAACTCTCCAGGTATCAAGTGAGAGTGACATGAATCAGTTTCACAGGATGAGGTCATCTAAGAATTTCTAGTATCTAATAACATTTGACACACTTAATATTGTACACATGTGAAATACTTTATATATCCATTATAATCATCATATGTTAGTCAAGCAAATCAAGCAAGAAATCTAAAAAATGAACTCACCCCCTTTCCTCCTGACTTTTGGTCAAATGGTACCATGGTGATTTGTTTGGAATCCCGTTGATATGTACAGTAGTGCTTCACCCAAGAAGTTCCAAAGTGACCTGCAAGGTAACATTTCCCATCAAACATCTATACATGTCCACTGTATGCTGCACATCATTAACTGGAGAAACACAGCCCACAATGCATAATGCTCCTCTATCCTTACACTGTTTCAGGGACAATATATTCTCCACACCAGCCAGAACGAAATAGACAGAAATCTGATCCTATAAGCTGGAAATGGAATCAACCTAGGGCTTTCCCCCAGGGACCAAGGAAGACGGTTTTCCACTATTGCTATATCTAGTGGGTCTTAAAATACAAGGGAAGTAGAGATTCCCTGGGGAAATTAATTCATGTTCCCATCATCAATCTCCATTTGAAGTTTCCGTTCTCTTCCCTGATGGAGTAAGATGACTGAGGAAAGAACAGAGAAATTCTTCTCAAAGTGCTTGTCACCATTCCCATCTGCTGCGATGACATCATGCTTCCCACACAGCTGCTCCATGGCTCTGCACACAGACATCAGGGCTTCTGACCTACTTCCAAACCCCTAATTTTTACGTTAGCAGAACTCACAAACATCTGAAAAGCAGATGAAGAAACCTCAGAGACACCAGAGATGAATGGAAGGGACTATAAATGTCCTAATGTAACATAATGAGTCTGTCCCTCAAAATTATCCCTCAGGAAAGAGGAAGATGCCATCTAGTCAGGTTCTCACAAAGTCTCTGATGTTACTCTGTGCTTGGCCAATTAGTTTATTTTGAATAACAAAGTACTATTAAAGAAAGAAGGCATTATCAGCCTGAAAGGATCTCAATCAATACTAACTTTAGATCCTTATAAAAATCACATAGTCTAAAATGTTAAAAGTTTTTTAAAATATGAGAAAAGAATTAGTAGACACTCAATAATCATTAGTGGTATGGCATTATTGCCAATTGCACGTGTTGGATGTCATTTATTAAAGCAATACAATAAGTGTTCCCATTGAGCCATCAAAGACAAATGAAAATACCAACCATCTGAATGCATTCTCCCGGCTTAGGGGAAAAACTCCAGTGATAGCACAACACAAAGATTTCAAAAGTGCTGTATTTGGAACAACTTGAGCATCAAGATAACTAGGGACAGTAACAGATTATAGCCTACTGAATAAAACGGGAATCCGTAAGTCCATACTGATGATGAAAAGATGGATGGATGGACAGATAGACAGAAAGGGAGGAAGGATAAGGGATGACACTTCCTCATAGTGCACTGAATGGCAACTACTAAATGTGAGAAGTTGGAAAATCACCATTTTGCAACCATCATAGTAAAGACTGGTTCAGGCAAGGATTGTCAATGGACACTAAATCTTTGGAAGTCAAGGAGAAGGATACTTACATGATCTTAAGGTATCACCCCATATATTGCTAATTAGTTTCAAAAGAAAAACAGTGACTGTACAGTGGAAAAACCAGATAATGCCTTGATCGAGTGATCAAAATTAACATCACCATCAAGAGGCAGATAGACACCACAGGCCTCTAGATGTGCCTCCAGAAACGAACATGGCATCAGTTATGTAGGATTTGACAAGAGATGCATAATCCAAATCTAACCAAGAGGAAACATCAGACAAACCCGCACTGAAGAAAATTCTATAATGGAACTGGCCTATGTTCTTCAAAAGCATCGATGTCCTGAAAGACAAAGAAAGGCTGAGGAGATTAAAGGAGACTAAAGTCATGTCAACTAAATGTGGTACAAGGTTATGTACTGGAGGAAAATAAAATGCTTCATAAGGGTGTTATTGGGACAACTGTCAAAACTGGAATCTGAACTGTAGTTTAGATTAACTATTGTATCAACGTTAAATTTCCTAGATGTAATTTCATAAAAGAATATTCTAATTCTTAGAAAATACTTACCGAAACAAAGAAACATGGTGTATGCAACCTGTTCTTGAATGGTTCAGGAAAAAAATGTGTTTGTGTCTGTGATGTGCATACACACACCCACAAAGAGAGGAAAAGAATGATGTAATTGTGGCAAAATGTTAAAAATTGATGAATCTGGGTAAAGGGCATATGGTTGTTCCTTATACCGTTCTTGCAACATTTCTGTAAGTTTACAATTACTTCAAAATAATAAGTTACAAAGAATTTAAAACAAAAAAGTTGTATCCTAATGATAGGCTCTGGACTATTGTGTTAGAGAACGAAAAAGTGGTTCTAATGATAATCAACACATTAATGTCAAAAGAGCACCTGATGCATTTGAATAAAATTGTGTAATGAAATGTGAGACTGCAAAAGAGCTATACAGATTTTATATATGTAAGTGAATAAAATTAATAAAATAAGTATTAGAAGTGGACACTGAACTATATTTTTGCAGACCTGAAAATTTATACTTTCAAGTTGATCTAAAACCTTTTGGGGAACGATCTTCTCATTGGGAAAAGAGATGACCACCTTATATTCAGTATGTATGAAACACACAACGAAAGTAGCTTTCATTTCTTATAAACCTCAACAAACTCATCCGAGTAAGAAAAATGGACATAAAAACCCTAATCACAGCCAATACCTCCACCCCATTACTTCCCCCATTGTCACCAGAGAACAATTTTAAGCCCAAGCAAATCTTTAGATAATCACTAAATAATCACTGAAACCAAGAGTTTCTATTCTATTCCATTGGGAAGCTGTTA